TTGTGTGAGAAAGCTGTATCTGATCACGGTTGCCCCTTTTCCCGAGAAGCGTGAGATTCAAGAGTTTTGAGCCGTGGCGTGGACAGGAAGTTTCGAAATAACTGTTAGACCACTCCTCTTCTAGGAACTTATTCTTCTAGCGCTTTGTTTGAAAATACGCTTTTTTTCGATCACGATTGTTTTCATCGTGGTGGTTAAATATCAAAACAAGTCACGATGATTCATGCGCAGAAACAATCTTTCGTGACGCCCAATGCCTAGAACGGATTTTCATTCTCCTTCCCTCAACAGAACTACAGTCCATAATCGCAGGACAATAAAGGGGGAGGGGGGTTCAGTATGAAGTCGATCAAGCGCGGCAGCGTCTGTGAGAATCTAGACGGAATAGAGGTAGAGACGCATGTGCAGAAGAAGAGAGTCAGCATGAGAACACGCAGCCGAGTGTACCAATAGTAACAAAGGCGTTGAACTCTGATCAGGAAGTATGATCATGAAGCGAAATTTTTTTGCTGGGTATGACCCCTTTTTTCAGCGGCCAAATGATGCTGTTGCCTGACTGTGATAAATGATAGTTAAGTATTCCTATTTGGGCTTGAACGGGCCTAACCTTGCTCTGAGCTCACCCTCACCCAATATAAATTCATTTTAAAAGTAGCTCCAGTGTAGTGCTTCCTCTCATAGACATCGGACTCAAATGGCCATACCAAACAAGGACAGTTAAGTCAAAACAACAAAAAATGATGAAGTGAATGAATGTCATTCTTATCCATTTCAGAGCAGATCTCACCTTTCCGTACATCGATGCCGACAGCGTTTCATCTTTAGTTGGACACGACGATCTCAGACGGCTACGATCTGTAAGGAGACCGGGCGAGAGCCAAGAAGTAGTGGAATCTCAAATAGAGACGCTGCTCAATGAGGTGGTGACATCGCAACCAGACATCAAAGAAGAGGCCACACTAGAAGCAGATATCACAGTAGAAGATGAAGCAAAGGTGGAGGAGCAGGTCACGAACAAGGAAGACAACCATGTCGGCGAAGATCTCAGCAACCACAAATCCCAAGCTTCGGTAGAACACAACCATGTCGGCGAAGATCTCAGCAACCACAAATCCCAAGCTTCGGTAGAACAAGAAGAGCCTCAGGAAAAACCTCAGGAAGAACAGCAACATGATCATCGTCAGGAGCTACAATTGCACGAGCCAGTAAGTGACAGAGACAAACAGTTCTGAAGTTAAGCAAGAGGGAATTTTATTCTTTCATGAAGTAAAATCAGCGACTAAATTGGTTAAACGGTCAGGAATAAGAACTACGGGTTAATTAGCGTGTATTCCATCTTTTTCGGGGTGTCAGGGTGAACAGGGCAGAAATGCGTAAAGAGAATTTACACTCATCATTCTTGAGCCTATTGTTCGTAAAACCACACACGCGCGATCGCGTGAGCGGAGATAGGTGGAAAGGTGGTCAATCACTACAGTCCATATCTGAGATCAAGAATGGGCGTTTCCAAGGACCCCTATCGAGGATCCCGGCAGAAGAAAAGCGATAAGAGTTGGCGCGGGAATACGCAGCGGTCGCAAGGCAAACCTAAAA